TAGATCTACGGAGACGTCATCGTTGGCTCACGACTTCCATCGCTTCAGCGTCTTCTGGTAGCTGCCGTCGCCTTTGTCGTTCCCGAGTATTCTTTCGTTGCAGTACGTGCTCAGTGTTTTACGTACGCAGTTTGACCAGTATTATGCAATAGAGTCAAGAAAGACTGCCTATGCCGCATTGTTTGGCCTTTAGCCAAACATTACGACGCAGATTGACGTGACTGTGCAAACGGCGTGCTTGTATGCGCGACGTGGGCTAAGCAGGCTGTGTCTACCGTGTTGTGACGCTTTCTTCTTGTGCTTCGAGCGCCTTAATGATAATGTGTTACGTGAAAAAATCACGTGCAATATTGTCACGTGAGATATCGTTACGTCATTTTGTTAGTGTAAAAAGTACTGTGATCGATACCAAGCACGTCGCATGGCCTGGTGCCTTGTTCTAGAAGGTGCGTCCGCAGCTGCAGCACCAGCAAGTTTATTGTAAACGCCCTCAATGGTGGCCAGGAGCAGTCTCAGCTCGCCCACGGAGTCGATGCGTTGAAAAAGAGCTTGAAAACTCCGTGTAGTTTCTGATCCTGCTGGCCAACCGCGCCACGAACTCAGTCTTCAGCTGCTATGGCTTCGGACAGATGGTACAGCTGGCATCTAACGTGACCATCTATGACGGCTTGCGTCGGTTATTCTTCAGGAACCATGCCATCCCTATGCCGTCTGTTGTAACGGGTGGTGACAGACCACAGCACACCATTATGGGCACGTCCACGGGATCTAACGCAGCAGCTTGCAGGCATGTTGTGGTACCCAGCACCTCTACCAAATGTGTTGCGTGAGAGAAGAGACGCCGGGTAGACGAGGCTGCAGGTAAAATATGTTATAACCAGCAGTTGCGGCGTGACCGGTTTGTCTTGTCTTGTCTCCTAGGAGATCTTGGCTCATACCCACATGGGGGATTGGCCACTACTGTTTTATTCATCGAATGAAGCGGAGACAGCGCTTCGTCCTCTTCGTCGGGCACACAACGTCCCAGGAAATGCCAGTATGCAGTGTGAGAATATTAACGCGTCTTCTTTCTCTTGCGTTTAGAGTACCTCGATGACGATATTCAGGCAAATTTTTGTTCTTAGAGCACTTTTATTATAATCGGATCGAAAACCACATATAGCGTCATCAACCGTGTGCACTGGCGTCGAAGAGAAGTATTGCTCCTCTTGTTCTTCGAGTGCCTCGGTGATGATGTTACGTCTGCAGATTACTATATACTATGGCTAGAGAATTCGACAAAGCGAACCCCGTATTCAAACTGTAAAAGAAACCAAGCGTTAAACAGAGAGAATTCAAGGAATAAAAACATAAATGGCTAGAAATAACCATAAAAACACAGAAAAACGAAAAAAAGCAGAAGAAAAAAGAGAGGGGGACAGAGAGAAACGCAGAAGGCTGCTCAACTTTCATTAAATTGCAGGAAAAAGCTCGCTTAATTTTTTTGTCACGCATAGTAATGAATACTGTAAAACTGATTACAGTCTTATGAAAGCAGATAACATAAGGAAACAATTACTAGTGCGTAACAGGCGCGATGCAGTGCTTGGCATCATTTCAAAGCACTGCCTTACAATGCCTAACACTAGCCGCCAGTGAACCAATGATTATAATCACTATCAACACTTACTTGCAGTTATGCAACATTGACCAGTTCTAGTCAACTCTAGCGCGCGCGATGGCCGGCATCGGGGAGCTACTATCAGGCTGAGTTTGGAAGCAGCAGCTATCTCTAGCCGTATTAGAATGCACTTGCCGACCGTGAGCCTCGGTTAGACAGCATTAACCATCTCTCAGACCAACATCAATGAGCTAGCATTAGTCAACACCCAACACTATACACAGGCGCGCCGCGGCGCGTCCGTCAGAGCAGATCGTCGTTGAGATCCCCAGCAGAACCGAACGCTCTCCCAACACTTGCTAGCACAAAGTTTATCGGAATATTAAATGGCCGCATAAGTCGATTGTACCAACAGGTACACGTTGTGCCCTGCGGGAACGACGTTTTGTAGTTTCTCGACTCGTCTCTGCTTTATTGGGCTGCGAAATAAGCGAATCGCGGCAGTGCGACGTAAATAAGTGTTTAGTTCCAGCTCCCTCGGCCGTCTCGCGTTCTGCCGCTGCGCGCTTGAAATGGTTTGAGACACCACTTCTGCAGGTGCAATGATGTTGCGTGATGTTCTTTCTACAATAGAGCTGGTGAGAAAAACGTATGCAAGGTATATTAATTCAGCTCAATGATGATACAATATTTTAATTGATCTTAATAATTATTAATTCGCCGTGTACCCTTCGCAGTTCTGATAAATGAAATGCGAGGTCAATTAGGGACTTTGTAGGTTAGTAGGACCATCAGTTAAGCAGCGAACTGCGCTACGTAGCATATTACCGTAAACACAACTATGGCCGCCTAGCAGCGATATGGGCACTCGGTATAGGATCAAGCCGACGTTGGTTGATTGGAGGACCCGTATTAAACTGACGCAACTCAACATGAAGGATCGGCCACAAAATGGGCGGTGTCTTGTTATTTAAATGTATTTGTTTGTAATATCGAAATGGTAGGCAATGTATTATTCTCTTTAACAACTAGTTAGCTTAATTCACGAAAAATAAAGACTAATGTAGTTGAAGAATAAGCTTGATTTAGATAACCTTAGCACTCAATTCGTTTCGTCTCGCGGAGTAAATCGCATATGGCTTTGCAATCGCTCCTGTGGCTAAACCCCAGTGCTGTATCGCCAAAGGAAAGAACCACCGGAAGCGTTGAACTGAATCCTATCATTTGAAGTGGTTCATTCATAATAATTTTTCGTTAGTTGTTAAACAATCTTCATGTTGGAAAGGAAATTATACAAAGCGTCGAGTATAGCAGAACTACGCGCCAAAAAAAAAAAAAAAACGAAGCTTTGCGATTGCTGTATCAACGGATGTGCATGCTGGTGTTTGATTCGGAAAACAACATAAACAACGCAACAAGTTGTAGTTATTGAGAGAGGTGTGGCGGTGGGGCCGAAGTGACTGTGCCGTCGTCGTCATCACTTTACAAGGTGAAGCGGAAGATGAAACGGGACTGTGGCGTCCTCTATGGCCGGAATCGTATAGCGCGTTCGCTTCCTCGGCCGCTCATCAAGCTCTTAGCATGAGCTGCGCGACCGGCGAGGCAAATACTATGATCATGATGAGTGATAGATGATGGCGCCATGATTTCAAGCAAGGAATTGCGCGACACTCGAGGGCTGAAAATCGCCGTGGCACGAAAGCGCAACAAATGAGCACGCCGCCCGGCTACTCACCAAGATTTCCGCGGCGAGTGGCCGTAGAGCCATCGGTATTTCTGAATGCCCTTAGTATTTTGCAAGTACCCGGGTAGTGGGCACGGAGTAGTACAATTCTCAGTGTGAAATAATGACAGCTTAGCGCAACAGTTATGAAGTGAGTACGCGCATCTGACGAACGCATTTAGCCGTCAGTGCTGACGGGCACCAAGGCGCTCACTGGGGTGGAAAACGTGCTTGCTCTTGTGCCGGCTTTCCCATTTACTCATGGTGGCATCGTGTCAGATTGCCCCCCTACGATATTTTTAAATTCTGCTGGAAGCACGCTACTAACAAGCAGACCACGTGCGCTTGTTGCTGCTTGCCTTTTAAAGCAATGAGGAGCTGATGTCTGCTAAGATTCTCAACGTTGCGCGCCCGGTGCACAAGAAGTGGCGCTGCGTGCGCCTTTCAAGGCGTTCCCTATAGGTTCCAAGCGGAGTGTATAGCCGCCACTTAATCAAGGTTACTCAGTGGTAGTAGCCACCGCTTGTTGAAGGTTCGCCGATTTTATCCGGTTGTATAGCTCGGTGTCACTCTAATGAGGCACTACTAAACAAAATTGGTAGGCACTGTTGGCACGAGACAATCTTTGCTGGCCATCGGAACTATCAAGCAATAGCCAACACTAAGAAAACATTGGCGCTAGTGAACAATTCAGCAGCACTAGACGAGTCACTTCTCGACTGAAGTTCGCAAACCTGGTTTTACACGAGTTAACACGGAATATGTAATTGAATGCCATGAGTGCTACGTCATCCGTATTTAAATATACCACAATCTATGAAGTGACTTTTTAATGACAGCTTGCTCTTTGTCATTGATGTGATGACATGCGTGTCGTCTGGTTCACGACACCTCGTAGACATCGTGGCACAACGTGCCATGCACGAGTACTTTTTATGGTATGTGCTAATGAACCGTAAGCTTTCAATGACGATGATTCCGCAGTTCTCCGCAATCTGTCCTTGTATTTCTATCGACTGCGAACGTCAACGAAACCTTGGGCTGTCTAACCGTGCGTCAAAAGTTATAACCGAATGCGCATAAGGTAAACATCTTCAATGTATGTTAATATGTGTGGGCATATCTGTCCATATGTTTATCTGCATTTGTTATTCTGTGATTACGTGGTCACGTGCTTGGACTCCTGCGTGGCAAAGCTTGTGCATCTCTTGACAAGAGTATACACATGGTTGTTTGCACCCGCAATGTCTGCTTCGTTCCTACCGCTTTTCCTCGTTTTTCTTTCGAGCAGTATTAAGTCCTCAAACCAAATACGAACCAACTAGATCGCAATACGTCTTACTTAGATTTATCATTTAGAATGCTCAACTACATCGTGTCTCGTTATTGTTATACACTCGTGCAACCTGTGAGTTTAAATACTTGAAACTTCCTGAGACATGGAAAGATAAAGGCAGAGTTAGCATTTAGCGCTTGGTCGTTTTCCGGGCTGGACGCCTTGGAGGTTGATTAAAAAAACCAACCGTATGCTATCTCGCCTCCCACAACCCAAGTTGATGCTTGTGCTTATCCCGAACCGCAGCGCCTCTAATAACCACTTGGTGTCGCTGTTCTCTCTTTTCTCTCCTCCCTTTCTGTCGCTTTCCCCCTCTCCCCCATCACCTCTGGCACACACAGCAAGGATGACGCTCGTCAAGCCTGGCGAGCTTGGCGACTGGCAGGATGGCAAAGGCATGGACCACACTCACTTTCACTCGCTTCTTCGTTCGAGCGCATGTCGCTTTTTACTCTGGCTTGCATGCACGCCTTGCATGCGCACGAGGCATTGTCGTGTCACTTTCTAACAACCTGCTTTATACGTTACCACCGCGCCTCTATCGGCTGCACGCTGCTCCTTTCAATCGCATGCCTTTCATGAGAGTTGTTTCTTTCTTGCTGCGTTTGTAGTAAATGCGGTACGGCTATTGTGGCCGTACCCAGATATGCACATGCTTATTCACCGAAGCCACCGGAAGGTAAATAGAAGTGGAAATAGTTTCATAGGCACTGATCGGTAAGAATCATGCTGTTTTTTGGAAGCGAAAGTAAGTGCTTTCATAACAGAGACCGTCCATCTTTCTCACGATACCTCTTGAAATAATGGCGATTGGGACGAATTTGCAGCACTGCGTTGCAAATACTAAACTGAGCTTTATTTTTTCTAAATAGTACGAGACATGTCAGGTTCAAGCAAGCTCCCAGTAAAACTCGCGTGCAATGAAGACACGTATTCAAGCCTTTTGGAAGAGGTACAGAGATGTGATTCGCTGGAAAATCAGCATTTAGCTTTTAGCACTTCACTAATAAGCGATATAGTTATAAACAATACTTTCCTGCTGGGTGTGTTTTATCAACTTATACATGGAGCTAGACAATATAAATGACCCTAATCAAGCTATCAGATTCTAGCTAGTCTAATAAAAACATCCATTTCGTGATAACCGTATCTGACCTAGAAATAACTCATTGACCACTCGTACGTGACACTCGCATATTCAGATTGCCATAGATATCCGAACAAGAGATTGTGGGGTAAAAGAATATCACAGGGTGCCATATCGTGGATATCGGATATTAGATAGGATATCTTGCTTGTCAAGCTGAATTTCAGACTGGGGCAGTTTTACTTACACATGGAAATCAGGTTGATGCAATCACCGTATATGTTAACTCAGAAAGAAATGCATTCCACAGCTAATCGGCATAGCTGAAACAGTTTATATTCGTCATTAATGCACGTTACAAGAAAGATTATGTTTGCACCAGCACTCCCACTTACGCAATGGCTGTGTGTTTTCGCCGTTTATTCGATGATTTCACTGCTTGTTTGATTGGGTACAATAACCATAATCTTAATTAAAAAAATAAGTAAGAAGTACCAGCAATACTACTTTTTTCAATCGAAAGATTCTTCGTACTCTGTGTCTATTAAACTGGTGCGTCAGCCAGAACTCTTTGGCACATTTCGCGCTATCTCTCACTGTGTCTAAACTTTTTCGTTCTTGATGGACGTTTGGGTAATGATGGTCGACAAAAACCAGGCACGTTAGCATATGGTTTACTCGCTAAGATCAATGACCAACATAAAAGCTTCAGTGAAATACAACGAGCAAATTAGCGGCGCACAGCGTAAGCCCGTGGATATTCGCCAAGCCGCCGCGGGGGCATGCAGTACAGAAGGCGCGAAGAGCTTCGACTAATTATTGGTAGTGCCACAGCCGAATAATTAGCGTCAACATGCGGGGATAAACCTTTGCCACCACCTTTTTCGGGGCCTTATACAACCGACAACGCGATCAGTACTTTTGTCTCGTAGATGGTTGCTGTCATTGTGCTGTACTCGCGACCCTCGTGGCTTCTTTTGCAGCCCATTCAAAAGAGAGACTCCTTTGCTGCTGCCCGTAGGCGTATATATAGCTGCAAGGCTATTCACGGTACGAAGGCAGAGGCGATAGTGTTACCCTGACAGGTTTGTTTCACGAAGAAAAAGCCTTGCAGTGAAAAAACAAAAACAAAACAAGATCGTTTCTTTCATTCAGTGCGTGATCTTCTTTCGTGATTTGTTTTCTTTCATAGTTTTTAGTATTACACAATATGCTATAGGTTTTTTCGGTACGGAAATATTGTCAAATCGATCCAGCGAGTCAACCTGCCAAAATGCAGTGGTGTGCTACACAATTTTCTTCATACTTCTAGGCAAGCTAGTACAGAGGCAATACCATCGCCGTTTTCTTTTAATCCGCAACTAAACTGCAAATTTTCCTTTTGTTTTGAAATACTACTGCATCCTTGTAATCATAACGAAGTTACTCGACTAGTGTTTTCATTTGTAATGAGGCTTTAGCAACCGAAATATGCCTGCAATATTTAGCTTACTTTTGAATATCTTGAAAACAGCTCAAGCGGAGGGAACGGATCAGCGTATGAGGAAGGATCAGCCCCAGAGCTGACTCGAAACTAAATTTTATTTGATATTACTCGCAGACTCGAATACTGACAACCTATCTTGCACCAATGTGACCACTGTTCATGAAAGAGTGCTGAAAACCGCCCTCTACAATACCGAAAATAATAAATTAACAAAGTGTTTCGTGCTTCCTCGGGTTCAACGGAATAAAAAAAAAATTACTTAATGCTGAGCATGCCAGGAATAGGTAGTCGCTATCATGCAAGACAATGGAAGGTGAGCAAATGCCCTGCTCGCCTCTCTTTATAACTTTGCAAGCCTTAATGATATCTATAGTATGCTGGTCTGGTTAACTGGTAGGTACCTCGGTTTCATAAAGTACACACGAAAATCAGATCACTAAAGATATTAGTGAGGTCCTTTAACATTATCAAGAAGGGCCGACAGTGCACTATTTCTCATTTCATTGTCGTATACAATAGCAAGTACCTATTTTGAACGCTTTAACATTTACTTTTCGGCTGTACACATGAAGTGCCTGAAGTTTTTTTTCATGTTTGTGTGTTCTTTTATGGTATTTAAGATAGCAGCTTTCCTAGCTCTTTTCTGAAAGGAGGTCATGTGTGTGCAGACAGACTGTCCAATATTAAGCATGCATGCATTATCAAATACAATTTTGTTTCGAGTCAACGCTGTGCTCGGTCCTCATTCCTTGAATAGTCGTATAGTCACTTTTGCTTTTGAGCTGCTTTGAAGATCTTCAAGGAAAGTTATGAAGTATAGATTAGCCGTCGATTATTTCATATTCAGCTAACCTTGCTAGACGATCTGAAAATGAATGCGTGTAATGATGCTATGATTGAACAGGCAGGTTGGAATCAATAGCGTGTCCGCTTCGGTGGTTCAGTGGTTGTGGTATTGTACTGGTGACCCGAGTGTAGTGGGATGGAATCCCGGCCGCGGGTGCCGTATTTTTGAAGGAGATGTTCTAAACTTCCAGAGTTTTGCGCCACGTCTTTCATAATAATACCGCGGCCCTCGGACGTTAACTTCCAGCTATCATTATTATAAATCTACGACACGGCAGCGCCTTTTCAGGGAGCTAAAATGCCGGAACCCACGTGTATTTGGGTGCACGTTAAAAGACATAGAAGAGTCAAAATCGATCCGCAGACACTTTGACAAGGCGCGCATCATACTGATGTCGTCGTTCCGGTACTTTCGTGCGTGGAGTGCAACAATGATAGGTTCGCAAATATTTCTAGACTATTGTTAGATGCAAAAGTACGCCAAAGCTGCGGCTAATCTGGCATTTTTTTTTCTAAATGGCTAGGTGGACATGCAAAAGAGATTTTTTTTTTCTCTTTCTCGAGATGTTCAGGCCACATTTATTTTCAACCAAACTGCACCTTCATGCATCGCTGCCACTGGTTTGGTCGAACGAAATGGCTGAAAGAACGCCCCGGATTTCTTTGCAACGAAAATACATGTAAACTTGGTTGCACGAATGTGCAAGCGTAGATGCGACACTGTTCACCACGAAGCTGTCTATACAGCAAATCTTTTCATGTCCGAAGAACCAAAAAAGCTTGGTGAGGTATGCACTACAAGAATCGGACAAGCCCCACAACCGAGTAAAAACGAAATTCTTCGCGAGGATCACCTCGGTTAGTTGGCAGCACTAGGTTGCCACTGTCATCATAGTCAGCGCAGTTGATGCTGATGATGCTGATGACCTCAGATGCATGAATGGCGCTCACTCACAGAGGGGGATGAGCCAAGAACCGGCCAGCAGGATACCTAAATGAAACTAAATTGAAATTAAAGCCAATCTCAAAAATTTGTTTAGAGATAATACTGCCAATAAACAAAACTGGTAGCTGAGCAAGCGGTCAAACCATCTCTTGTTCCTGACAGACATCGCTACGAACTATAAAGATCTGAAAAGGTTAGGGTTTACTAGCACGGTAATCTTTTAGTTGCATTGATGTAATCAAACACAGTGGAGCATATATCTCTCTGGCACTAACCAAATGAAGTGCCGCCAAGTGATAAAATTACTTGTAGATTTACTTGTATTCCTAGCTTTTGTAATGGGGCTACTAAAAATCTTTTTCTCTGATAAGAGTAACGATGACAGAATAAAAAGAAAGGTTCAATTGTTTCAATTTCGTTGCATGAAATGCACAGCGGCAACGCCTTGAGCCGAGCTTTGTTAAGGTAATAATTTATTTGTGCCACTGTACAGCGCAATCTGGTATAAGTGACCTCTAACTGGTGAGATACACACCGCTGTTTATTCCAGCAATACCTTAAATGCTCGAAATCTTTAAATTTATCCAAATTACCTATTCCCCGTCGCAAACGAGCATTTCGGAACCTTAGCGCTGTCACGTAAGCCTTATCTGGCAAAACTGGGATGGTGGGCCCACTGAGGGATAGCGCAGTTACTCGGTCGGCAAGCGCGATATTCGCCTTCGTCTTCATCTTCTGCTTGGCTCTCAGAAAAAGTAAGTATACCAATTGGTTTTGCGTGGAATGCAATAACTTGGAAGGGCAAAAGAACGATTGCAAGGAGAGAGAAAGAAAGAGAAGAAGGAACGCCGAGAGAGAAAAAGATACAGAGAGAATGAAGTACAAAGACACGAGAAATCAAACCAAATCTAATAAAATTTACTTCAACAATAGTACAAACAATATAGAGGACCATGGACAAAAAGCAAGCAAAGCTTCATGAGGTCGATGGCGCCAATTTTTTGAGGTAGAGACATAACAACCAATGATAAATGGGGTTCAGCGCTGAACTATATTGAAGTTATAGGATGGTCACACTGACAACTTAGAAAATGCAAGATTATACAGGCATAAATTTGTCTAAAAAACAGAAAGCAGGACAAAAAGAGTGGAGCATTGAGAAACAAACAGAAAAATCAACAGAAAAAAGGTAAGGCCGCCTAGCTCCACTTTTGCTTCAAGCCTGGCACCACAGTGCGAAGCTGCCATATATATATATATATATATATATATATATATATATATATATATGTATATATATATATATATATATATATATATATATATATATATAATTATATATATATATATTATTTATTTATTTATTTATTTATATATATATCATTCACTGGCGGATACTGAGGGTCAGGAGCGGTGAAATTGCACTGCATATCTGGTTTAGAGTAGTGGTTGTGAAGGCTTCGCTAATTTAATGAACGAGACAATTTGTTGCTCAAGTTTCCTGCGAAAAAGCATCATCATCAACCACTTTGCGTGAATATCTTTTTTTAACGCTCTGTCGAGGACCCTACTTCACGCAAGGACGTCCACACCGTCAGTGAACTGTCGACAAGTACAGACTGAGCAATGTTCAATCATTGTTCATCTAGCAAACAAAGAAGCGGTGAATAAAAGCCGTCTTTTGACAGCTTCACGAGCCTACTGCATTTTAAGAGAGAAATGTTCTTTGACTCTTTTTTGAGAGCTCTACGTTGCCAAGTGTCTCACTCTCTTTAAAGAGGCACGTCAAGTCCGTTTTGTGTTTATAATTCTCTCAACTGGAGGTTCTGTGACCCACGAGAGAGTTAACCAGCCCGTTGTAAACGATCAATAAATATCCATGGCATGTCGGGACTACCAGAAAGATGTCATAGAAACTCTCTTTTTTCTTAAGCCGTGATTCAATTACAATGGCTCACGCTATAGCAGAGACATAATTGCACATTAGATGACAATAAATATAATAATATGTAATAATAAAATAATGTGAAGAAAAAAAATATACGACATCAGAGGTAGGTATATATCGGTAGGAGATGGGACAAGTTATGAAGGGTAAACAATTATTGTAAAGGGTGATTTTCACGCGTTAGGGTGACAAGCAAGGTCTGTTTTAGAACGAAGGGTGACGTTACTTGCCACAGCGCCATTAGTCGGAATCCTAATTACCACGTTTTGTGAAAAACTGGAAGTTCATTTAGATTTCCTGGGTAATAAGATTCATCTTATCAAACAACCCACTCGAAAGTCCTGCTCAGTACTACCGCTTATCAGCTATTGAAAAAAAAATGTGCATCTGTATAACCTCGAGGAAATGAACAGCTGGTACATCGCAATAGTTTCAGGAGATATCTGGTGCCTGACGCAGCAGGCACATGTTTTAACGAATGTAGTCAGCCGGGCTGCAAGACCCAGGATGTCATTTCGCAAAGTCCTGACGTCCTTGGAAGAACACAACGTCGTGAAGCCGGCCTTCGTCTCGCGTTAGAGAAGCCCGAACGCGCCTGTGGTTGACGGGCGCGGACTGGTACCGGCCGGTGGGCAGCGCGTCTCCAGCGAAGCGCGAGCTATTGATCGGGTATCGCTGCCCGCTCTGGCGATCGCCATCTGATGCGAGCTGACGTCTCTCAACGATCGCCCACGCCAGATGTGAGGGAGCCGCCGACGATCGAACGCGCATCATTTGTCGGCCAGGCACGGCACATGATTCTGACAGAGAGACGGACTGTTCGCAATGAGCGCAGATTAAATTGACTCGGCCGACTCTCGTAACGATGTTGGAACTCGGCGTACGGGCAATTGGCAGCCCACGCTCGGCAGGGATCATTCAGGTGTGGGAATGAAGATTGTGTGACTTTGAAAGGACAAGCATTTTGAAACACAAGCCGTGAGACGAGAAGCACTGAATATTGCGAAAGTTAACACCATTGAACAGAACGTGAATTCCGAGCCCATGCCTGTGCAGGTGCCCAGCGATGCTCCTGGCGTTTAGGTACTGCAGGGCCGGTTTTCGAGTTCGCCTTATTTGTTTTCCTTTTTTTGTGTGTGTGGTTTAAATCTTCCGACCAAAAAAAAAAAGAAAGACTCGCTGTGCAAAAATGCAATGAAGGAGTTCACATTATAACCTGGTGTAGAGTTTCACAACTAAATTGCTGTTTCACTCATTAAACATGAATATACAGACGAGAATGCGTGTATAAACACAACGCACGACTTACACATACGTGCTTGAAAAGCTGTAGAATTCAGGAAAGCTGTGCGAAATCATGGATGCGAACTTTCGTGTACAATAGCTCTCAGTCTTGGTCGTTTTGCCGCCTGCTAGATATGTGTTGCGCATAATTGCTGCAGAATCGTATGTGTCAAGCTGTTTTTAGACACATCACAAATCAAACAACATTTTTCTCTCCAAACGAGCCCCATCTAGGAACCAACGCTTGACTTAAACTGAAATGAGGTGCTACTCACGTGGAGTTTTTCATTCTACAACACATCTAACAAAAAAGAAACTTGCCATCTGCTGATTGAAACGCTCGCTCAATGAAATAGTTTCCAAGAAAGAATGAGTCAAATCTTAAACTATTTGAATTCAATTGAGTCACATCCACTACTAACCTATGGGCGTACTTCATGGACACTTCCTGACAAAAAAAAAAAAAACTGACATAGACGCTTCTATTCCATTTCCTTCTTAGAAGGGTATAGCGCTATAGTGAACGCGCACTGACGGAAGGCACGTAAAGAAACAGGCGGAAGTGCTTCCGTCTTTGTGCCCATGTGCTTTCCTTTATCCGTGTTCAATATTGCTATATACCCTTCCAAATACAAATTTCGAGCTCACTCAAGAAGCAGCGTTCCGTTTCATGTTTGGCCACCCAGTTTGTACTAAGATTGTGTTCCAAGGCAGTGCTTTCTTTTTTAATGACTGACGGTGGAGTCAAGCAAGTCGAGAGCCATTCTGGAAAGAAAGAATGCTAATAGGCCTCACACATTCGCAGCGGAAAATAATGACTTGAGAAATGCGTGCCAGAAAAGAATAAACGTGAAGAGACACTGTTCGAGCAATAAAAGTGGCCTGGCCGACAGAGCAAGTATCTTAATATCATTGCGTTGCTGGACCTATTCATGCGACAAGGGTATATAGTTTCCTTCACCAAGTTTCGGTGACATAGCATTTCGGTGACGAACATTACTAAAATTTCATGTGCTGCCATTTACTCCTCTTTTCTGCAGCAATGACACACCGCAATAAAATGTTTGGATCAAAATGAGTCAAATACAAGTGTTACATCTTCAGAAGTGGCAAACCCAGTAGCTGCATACAATATGGCCTATAGCATGCCCATTTTCACTGCAGTGCAAGTTTCAAGTAATTTCATGACGTGAGTCACTGGAAAGCATTGTTGAAGTTGGCTATACCATATAATGGCATTAGAAAAACAATTTCGTTTTTGTTATCGTTCGGCTAACCGTAGATGTAGCGCTTAAATAAAAGGACTGAAAACTCCCACTTATGCACCGTAGCCTGCAATGCGATCAGACATAAATATATACTGCATCACATGAGAAGTCTTCGCTTTCACTAATTTTGTATGTAGTTTACGGCAGTATAAACGCCCAGTTCAACATCTACTTCGGCATATTGTATGCTCAGATTAGGGTGCATGTTAAAGAACCCCAGGTGGTCGAAATATCCGGAGCCCTCCACTACGGCGTCTCTCATAATCATATGATGGTTTCGGAACGTTAAACCCAACATAATAATCAATCAATCAATCAAGCTGATCGAGCCATGTTTTACCTTAATGCTAATCGGTTTGTGCGGATCGTGTGGACGAGGCAGACAATCGTGTACATTTTATTCAGCGCACAATGCAAGATAAAGGAACTATATGACCGCAGTGTATACTTTTTTTGTTTGCTTTCTTTCTTTCCTCATGCATGAGCTATAGACTTAAGCGGTGGATATGCGTTGCCAAGCGGGCGCAATGCATGTCTGCTCGGCTTGTTTTGTGTTACGGCCTAAAGCAGGCATGATCATATTAGCATGCGTGCACGAAGAAACTACAGCGAGGACCTTCGGTATGGCTTCGGAGGCCGTTGCTTGACAATAGTCAGCATTTTCGTTCTTTTTGTTTGCGGCCTTCGCGACAGATGTTCGCTCTAACCTGCCCTCTTTGTACCCGTCAGGAAATCGGTACAAGGAAGACTACAGGACTTCGATGTCGCCCTCTGGAGGCGTCTACGTCAACAATGAGCTGGCGTCTCGGGCGGCCATGATGACATCGCTAGGTATTGTTGCTCTGCGTGAACCGCGGTGTTTCGTTAAAAGACCGCCAGAGTTGGCGCCGGTTGATAATTTTGCCTACGTGCAATGATGTGTAGGTCGTGCTTGACGCGTAGATTCCTCTTATTGGAGACTGCACGGCGTTTTGTAAGTGCGTGCGCTTTTCACTTGCAAATGAAGTTTGTTCGACTTGTTATAGTAGCAGCATTCACACGCACAGCAGTAACCCAGTACTTGGTGTCCGAAACATCTCGAAGAAACTCCATGGGGGCTGCGCTTTACGTGTGAGTTATATTTCAGCGTTGCTGACATGAAAGCTATATATTTCGGCGGAGTTCACCACGTGCAAGCTGTTTCGGTGTCCTAATCGGCAGTTCCTCTATGTAAAAGTCATCAAAATATGGTAAGATATTTCCGCCAAATGCTAGCGAACACACACAGACCTAACTGTTTGCGATGCGACACTGTCATTATGGGCTCTATCACGTGACAATACAAGTATGCTACTCAAGTTAAGGGTGCATGGAAGCTGAAGTGTACACACGACAAAAACAAGTGAGACACAGCACTTTTGTCATATAATTGCGTTACCAAAAAGAAAGTAAGATCTAGAATCTATGCCACCTGGGATGGTTATACCTACTTGCCTGCACGCTTTTCAAAGCCGCATTCATAGGAAGTTCGCGCAACACCTCTCCTTTTGACGCTATTCAAGCTAACCGCCATACTAACCATGCATGTGCTTACTAGCTCCAGACTTCGCTATAGTAATACGTTCGGAATGATTGGTGTCGTTTACCTCGCTGGCACTGATTTGTTTGCGTTCTCGTTGTTTATCACCTCCGCCCTCCTCCCTTTTATATTAGTGCGAGATGAATGACCGCTGAGCAAGCAAAACGACGAAAAGACGTACAAGGATCGTTGAGATCATCTCGTGCGATATGATCACGCGAATGGACACACCAGCAGAACAGAAATATTAACGAAGTGTTTTCGTTGGGGACAAACGCGGCGTCAAGCAAGATAGATCACCGCTCGCGCGGTGTATGTATGTATGTCATATGTATGACTGGCCGCTATATATATCGCCTGGCTCGCTGCAGTAATGCGTTTTCCTCTCTGTTCGCCTCATCTCCCTCGTATGGAAATTAACAATGTCCACAGGGAAGAACGATGAACCGATTGTTCGAAGATGAGCAACATCGCTGCGAAAAATCACCCTGCCACACCCGTATATACACTGAATGGCAACATTAAACATGTTTCTTCTACCGTATTAGCTTTTGGGGGCGGTTCTTCGGCGTCTATATATTATAGTTAGTGAAGAAAAAATACGTGCGTGTAAGGTCTGTTGAGCTCCCATTCATAGTCCCAAGTCCTCGTGTTCTCATAACACAATTGCTTTAGTTCGTAATATAAAATGCAACGCGCCGTAAGCAGAGGTAGCCAGAATCAGCGACGCTGCCACACAGCACCTCTGGGTAGCTCCAGAGCAATATACAGCCTCGAGTCTTTTATTTCGATAGCAATCATAAATAAATATGCCTTGAACGTGAGCCGCGAACGCGCCGCCCTACCCTTGGATTTTACCCTTCCCCTCCAGTATGGAGGGAACGCCTGTGGTGGTCGCCCCCTGCAACACAGCAATGCTCTCACAGTTGCCTCCGAGCAGCTATGATGTCATGTGACCGAACGGTACGGAGGTGAGCGGTCCCACGCGGCGGATGGTCGCAACACACGGCAGGAGGCATGGCCTCCGAGATTTTAAGCTGGCAGCAAGGTCTCAATTGAAGAGAGAGTCACGTTCCAGGCATAGTTTTTCCAGGAGGCGTTGTATGGATAATCTCGGCTGGATTTTGCCGCCGCCGTCGCCGTCATTCACCGCATATGTATACGTGTCTATATATATGAAAACGCAAGAAAGAAAAAAATCCAGAGAAGCGACTCTGGCACGCGGTTTCGAACGTGGGACCTCCGCGTGCCACCGAGGGGTACCTCGGTGACACGCGGAAGTGTCACCGAGGTACCCGTGTTTTCAGTATTATCAGCAAGATGACGCAACAAGCGTGCGGCGGCTCTATCTCTCACGCGTACTTTGGCCCGCGGAGAGGAGGGGAGTGAACGATCTCTCGCGCGCCCCTATCTCCCGGTGCGGAGGATCACACGTCTTGGCTTTGTTGGGCTTTCAGGAACGATTCTGTTGTAGTTACCGGGTGCACAAAGGTCACTGCACTCGTTGCACAATCTCCGTTTGCGAAAAAGGTGCGCTTTTCAGACACAGTGAAGTAACAACTGAGACGATCGTTTGCGTTCATCTGTACCTGTGAGTACGTTTCGTGCGTTGTTTGTGCGTGAGGAACGCGCGGCACATTACGATCTGCTTGCTATTCCTCGCCTGACCTTCCAATTTGTTGCAATCGCGTTAATTGCTTCGCCTTTGCGGCAAAGCTGTGACTTTTTTAGGTGCGAAGCTCCTTAAGCCGTAAGCTTGTACATGGATGTCTCTCTTGGCACGTGACCGCCTAGTTCTATGACAGATGGACAAACACATACATACATACATACGTACACGCACACATACATACATACATACATACATTCGTACATACATTCGTACATGCATGCATACATACATACATACATACATACACATACATACTTACATACATACATACATACATACATACATACATACATACATACATACATACATACATACATACATACATACATACATACATACACACATACATACATACATACATACATACATACATACATACATACATACATACATACATACATACACATACATACAGACAGACAGACAGACAGACAGACAGAGATGCAGGCAGGCAGGCAGGCAGGCGGGCAGGCAGGGTTTACCTGTAAAACGCTCTGAATCTTCGCCCCACTCATCGTCATTCACTCCGTGAATATGCTGTAATTTTTATAATATTTCACGTTTTTCCGCGTCCACACACTTATGCTTCCTGTGAACCGGATGTATTCAATATGTTAGGCGTCTTGTCTACTGTTAGATAACCGCTTGATGAGCGATGTCACCTATTTGCTGCCAATGAAGAAAAGCAATGTTGACGTACATTACACGAAAGTCGCGGGTTGGATCCCGGTCGCGGTGGTCGCATTTCGATGTAGGCTAAATGGTAACGCCCGCGTGCTGCGCAACGTCAGAGCTCGTTAAAGCACATGAGACGGCTGAAATTTCCGGAGCTCTCCACTACGGCATCTCTGACAATGATATCGCAGTTTTTGGACGTAAATCCTGAGGAATACTACTACTACTAATAATAATAATAATAATAATAATAATAATAATAATAATAATAATAATGATAAAAATGTTATTGTTTTTGTTGTTGTTGCAAAAGTAATTCACTGTACTTATGTACGCCTATATTTTATTTGAAATGAACACATGCTCCGATACCAAAGTGTCTCGGTTGAGTCCCCTGAGTCATATGTTTAGCATGCGGATCAGTGCACGAGTATGTGAAACGCAAATGTGGTGGCGTCATATTTCCGGCACTCATTTATTGGAACAACTTTCATAAAGCAACGTCAAAAAAAAATTCCCCTAGAAATTATCAAAGCTCACATCGGTACATAGCTTAAGCTATTTAAGCTGTAACGCTAACGGTGCAACGTCAGATTTAGAAGACGTGTTTACTCGCGGGATTTAGGCCACAGACTAACTTTGGCTGTGGCAAAACAAGCAGGCTTAAATAAAATGCCAAACATAGTTGCAGGCTTCATGTTTTCGTTTTCATACTTTTCATTATTTGTTTATCTGCGGCTCTATACATAAACTGCTCCCGATGGGGTCCTTGCGGCGTGGTTCCCCGAGGTGACCACGTGCCGTACAGTGAAGCTAGCGTTCAGCCCTTGCAGCTATAAACAGGGTGTCCCACGTAACGTTATCCAGAGTTTTAAAATATTTAGGAACACGTAATTACGACGCGACCATTCAAATGAATGTTGCTTATTGTTGCTGCAGTTAGAATATTTTTGTATTCTCAAATATTGTTGATTTAGATGTGTCTCATTAACCTCTTTTCAAGAAACGAAGATAGACGAAAAATTTCAATGAGAAAGTTGTATATCGGTTTGCAAAACGTCCGATTTTACAGGTTTGAACTTTATATTTGTTAGGTATTCCCACGAAATACGAAAAATACCACGTGACAAACCCGCTCCTGCGCCACTGCGAACAATGATTGTAGTGCTCGCGAACTTACCGCCTACGTATGATAGCATTTGCCCCATTGTGCTGTCTCAATATGGCCGCAACGATGGTGGTGGCTTTACGATGAACACGTTTTGCTATCGGCCACAAAAACGTTAACCGCTGTGACTGCTTATCGCTGTCATGAACCGTTGCGAGGGAAACGGGTCGTTCGTACGTGGTACGTTAGGAGCACTAGAATCATCGTTCGCACGGACGCGCGAGCGGGTTTGTCACGTGGTATTTGTTGTGTTCCGCGGGCGCTTCTAATTAGCTGAAAACACTAATACCTCACGGATGTAAAGTTCAAAACTATCTATTCGGACGTTTTGCAAACCAATTCACAACTTTCTCATCGAATTTTCTGTCCATCTTCATTCCTTCAAAAGTTACTTAATTAAACAGATCTAACTAAACAATATTTGAGAACACAAAAAATAGTCTGACTAACTCCAGGCAACGGTGAGCAACATGCATTTGGTCGCGTCGTAATTACGTGTTCCGGCATATTTTTAAACTCTGGCTAAAGTTACGTGGGACACCCTGTTAGGTGTCAGTGCCATGGTAGTGGCAATGCAGTGATTTAGCGTAACCGAAATCGCCTGAAACACATTTCTGCAACTGCATAAACAGAGTGGTATTGTGAAGAAAACTTACGCTGCTACCGAGTAAGACTTTAATTTGGGGAATTGGCAGATGCCCAGCTTAGAAGAGTGCATATAAAAAGGACGATTATGCAGGAATACAACAGACTGGACG